TAACCACAACATAGTGAATGTATAAATACTGAAAGAATTTTAAAAATAATCTAAGTAGCTATTAGTATTCCAGGTAAAGAACTGTGTTTTCAATATAAAATATTTAAGATGACATTGTACCTTTAAAATAATTTAAAATATGCACTAGTAATATTATTTATATTAGAGGAGGAACTATTTTATAATTTCCCCCATTTCCATCACATAAAGTAAATTTTAACCTTAGCAGAAAAGCAGTTATCCAGAGGAAGTATGATGAGACACCAAACTATATCTTAGTTGACCAAAAAGAAAAAAAACCCATCCCAGGAAAGAGAGCCAGATGCACTGAGCCTTCTCAATGTAACAAAAAAAACCATGCTTGGTCTATATTTATATAGCCTTGTTACTTGACAAGCCAGATCACAAGATCTTCAGAAAGGAATGATCCTCTGAAAAGAAAATATTAAATGGAAAGAATAGCAGGAAGGGAGTAAAATATGTGGAGCTTGCATAAGGATATTATTCTCTTTTCAGTACACATATAACTTAACATGTACAGGTATACCTTAACACGTGTTATCCCTATTTAAAAAGTGTCACAATGCACTGTCCTTTAAATCATTCTCTAAAGAGATGAGAAAACTTATGATCTCTAATCTAGAACTAAAGTCTTCTAAATCTCTATGATTCAGTCATTAAAATTATTCAGACACCCTGTTACCATTATCCTCCTAGCATAAGAAGTTATGTCAAACTAGATCTAAAACATAGGTCTGCAAAAGAAGTATTTTACAAAACAAATATCAATACAAGTTTTTCCACCTTTGTTCCACTTGTACAGCACCTCGCACAGTAGGGTCCAGGTCCATGACAGGGGTTCCCTAGATGCTACAGGAATACACATAAATAATAATATGATGTCAAACAACGTAAACTTTCCTCTGCAAATCTCATAGCTCCAGTCATTATATTAATGAACACAAGATGGTTGAAGGAGACACTAACAAGTCAAAGGTTATGTCTGCACTACAGCCTATGTCAGTATAACATATGTCGCTCAGGGGTGTGAATAAACCATCCACTGAGCAACATAAGTTACAGCAATATAAGCGTTTGTGTGCACAGCACTATGTTAGTAGGACAGCTTCTCCCACCGACGTAGGTTCTGCAGTTGGCGGAGGTGATTTTATTATGCCAACAGGAGAGAGCGCCTTCACCAGATACGCTGCAGCTACCTTTTTTTTAAAATGTAAAACATGTAAAAGCTAAATAGAAAAACTACAGTAGCTGCCCTTACAAAGATCCACTATCTTGAAAGAGTATTTAAATTCTAAGCTTTCCGGGGCAAGGAATGTCTCTTACTTTGTTTTGGGAGGGGCCCTAATTTTACTTGAGCCCTCTAGGCCCTATAGTAATACAAAATAATAATACCAGTTCCAGAGGTGTTCCATACTTTCAAAATGGGGAATTCTATTATATCTTATATACAGTATTTTTTTTTCTAATCTGTAAGTGGGACTTTTAAAACTAGGAAACAAATATATTCTGCTAAAAATGTAAACCTTTTCAACTTGTGGGTTCTTCATAGTTCCCTGTACCCTTCTAGGTCATAACACGTGTTTAAAAATGGGTTGTCCCCAAAAGCACTTAAATTATCAGTGCTTAATCCTGATCCCTACCATGCAGTCTTAATGTTGAGTTTAGGATATTTAGATGTGCAGTTTCAAGGTAATGTGTATTCTTTTATCATAAATTTAATTTTAAGGAAGTTAAAAATAAAATCATTTTCCAGACAAGAAGCAAAATCCAAAGTTGCATCCCGGCTCATCACCCTCCCATCACCATTTCTTCATGTGTCACAAAATATAAACAATTCCAGATTGTACGTTCATATAGAATTTAAGAGACATAAGTTCAAAGTCTAGGGCTATAGCACAATTCAGTAACAAACTCTAGTCCCACCCTGGTAATAATGAACCATGTTTACTCATGTTGTGGCAGCATGCTGGACAGTGTTGCAACTTGGCTCACCCACATGGCAGTACTGTTGCCTGAAAACTGCATGTAATTCTTATCAAGAGAAATTGTCTAAGCTTCTCAGTAAGAGAGGTATTATTGATCTCAACATATTTGTATCCAGAAAGATTTGTACAGTATACTTCAGTAAGTTACAGAGGGGTTATACATAATTTGAAAAACTTGAAATATAACCTCGCCTTGGTGCTGGAGAGTTCAATGTCATAAAGTGCTGAAGATATGAACACACATCAGACAAATAAATTAGTAGCTAATTTATTTCTCTGGTTTATTTAACAATATTCCAAGCTTAGCACATTAAATAAAAACTCACAGACAATGGGTAGGACTAACAATGGCTTTGTCTTAGAACAACGAAACATGTCAACTGAACCAATTACCATTTTATTTTGGATACCAAAAATTAAAAGGCCTGAAGGAGCAGAACAGTGCATTGCACTGGTATTGGTGAAACCGATTTGGGGAGAAAACAGGCTGCACTGCATGATAATTTTAGCCTTCAGACGGTCCACATGGAAACAGGGATTGGGAGAATACCAAAACATATTAGCTGAATTCAGACCTGGGGGGTGGGGGGGGGACTGATTTCCTTTTACATTGGTGTAACTCCACTGATTTCAGTTAAGCTACTCCTAATTACAGTAGTGTAAGAGGAGATTCAAACCTCTGGTGTTAACACAGTGCTTAGTTTTTAATGAAAGAAGTGCCAGGTCTCAAGCAATTTTTTTTTTTACTTTCATACCTGATGTGGCAAGCCCAGAGGTGCTGGGGCTCAACTCTGGCACAAATTAAGCACTATGTTAACAGCTTCAGCTCCTTTAGGGACAAATTCAGTAGGTGACAAATTGCGGTAAAAGTTACTCTTAAAATTGATGTGGTAGTGTAAGTTACATCCGCTTGGCAATCAATGTGCAAAACAAGTGTAACTTATACACTGAGCAGGGGTAAAAGGAAAATCAGCTAAGAGGCCTGCTTTAACTTCCTCCCTCCAGTTAATTAATTATTGTGCTATGCTTCCTACACATGTAAGCTACACTTGTTTTGCACATTCTCTGGGCCCAATCTCCTACAGCCTCGCACGTTCCGTAGTCATGTACATCTGTGCAAAGTGGATGTACAGTGATACCACATCAGAATGGTGTATTTTACACGCACTTTCTGGAAGTATAAATAATTACACAAGATGCAGGGTAGTGAAGAATTGAGCCATCTGAATGCTAGGTCTGTACAAGTTAGACCACCATTTACAGTCATTTTTCATTAACTAAAACCTGCCGGATAATTTACACCATTTGATTTGTTTCATGATTCTAATCCCACTCCCCACCTACTGCCAAATGATCATACTGTGCATCGGTTGGTGAGAACTATAAAAACAAAATGTAAACATATACAGCTTTAGAGTACAAGTGAAACAGCATATTAAATATCACTGTAAATCTCACTTCTGTGTTACTTTTGACCAGCCCCTTTATAAAACCATGCATCTATGATTATGAATTCCAAATAGTCATCCCATAATAATACACTGAGCAGTCTCTGGTGGACATCTCTCCAAAATCAGTGTTGCATAAGACAATCACAGACACACACATATACATGTTCTGTGTTAGCATTTTATACTGCTGTCCATCATCACAGTATCTGAGTGCTATATGTACACATGCATTTTATAGCATAGTAAGTGAGACTAATACAACAGAGTGAATGTCTCTGATCTCTGCAACAACTGAATGATTTCCAAGATCACATGATCCACAGACTTTCAGGGGGCATCCCACTTATACCTTCATGCTACATTGTAGACCAGGGATCAGCAACCTTTGGCACGCGGCTCCCCAGGGTAAGCACCCTGGTGGGCCAGGCCGGTTTGTTTACCTGCCACGTCCGCAGGTTTGGCCGATCGCGTCTCCCACTGGCCGCGGTTCACCGCTCCAGGCCAATGGCAGCTGCGGGAAGTGGCGCGGGCCGAGGGATGTGCTGGCTTCCGCTTCCCGCCACCCCCTTTGGCCTGGAGTGGCGAACCGCGGCCAGTGGGAGCCGCGATCGGCCGAACATGCGGACGCGGCAAGTAAACAAACCAGCCCGGCCCGCCAGGGTGCTTACCCTGGTGAGCCGCATGCCAAAGGTTGCCAATCCTTGTTGTAGACTAATGAGAATTTGTATTCTAGTCGGTAAGAGCGATATTTCCAGAACGTTTCCAACTGGGAAATGAAAAAAAGAAAAAAAACTTTGCCTATAATATGGTAATTACAAAAATCCCCCTGTGCATAAGCAAAATATGCTGGCTGCCTCCTCACTCTAGCCAAAAAGTGGACTATAGACTTGTTTTAGACACGTAGCTCTTCCTAAGAGATGCATTTTATTATTTTATTTTGCTAAGTACTCAAAAAGACTTAAAATATTTAGGCATAGAGACACAGGGGGAGCTACTGCAGTACACATAACGATTAATCAGAACTAGTATTGAGGTGGGCCAGACCAAAGCCCTCTACAAACTGACTCTAAAGGGAAGAAGGGGAAAAGGAAGTTTGTAAGTGCTGACATAACAGGAAACATTATCAAAGTCTAACAACTTGTGTGAGGGTTTTTTTCCCTGCTTAAATACATTTACACAAAATTAAAGCTTACTTTTTTGAAAGGCTTTTTCTACCAAAGATCTTTCTAACTCCCTGGTCAAAGTCCCAATTTAAATTAAAACAATTTTGTATAAAAACAAATATGGTCCTTGCCATTTTCCAATCTCCCTACTTCCCCGATCCTTCAGGGCCTGATTCTTTGCTGCTTTGCACCTTGTGTAGCCACCACTTAGACTAAGGGTTCTCAAACTGGGGATCATGACCCCTCAGGGGGTCGCGAGTTTATTTCCTGGGGGGTCGTGAGCTGTCAGCCTCCACTCCAAACCTTGCTTTGCCTTCAGCATTTATAATGGCATTAAATATATTTAAATGTGTTTTTAATTTATAAGGAGGGTCGCACTCAGAGGCTTGCTGTGTGAAAGGGGTCCCCAGTACAAAAGTTTGAGAACCACTGACTTAGACTCACACGAAGTGAATGTAAAATGCCACAATTCTGATGTGGTTGTGATTTCCACCTACTTAGTATAAATGTAAGGGGTGACATCAGGGCTTGTCTACAGTAGAAAGTTTTACCACTTTAACTATACTAGTATGACTAAGTGACAAAATGTCCCCCAGTGTGGATGCAGTTATACTGGCATAAAAGTGCTTATACCAATATAGCTTATTGTGGTTTGGGAAGCAAAAAAGCTATATCAGTATAACTGCATCCACACTAGGGCCTATACCTGTATGTCAATACAAAAAATCACACCCCTAATTGATGTAGTTATACCAGTAGAACTTGTAGTGTAGACGAGGCCAAAAGTATGAGGTAGTGAAAAAAAATCAGGCTCAAATTTATTTATTGTCTAGTTTCTTCCTAATATTTTTGTAAGAGTCTCTAAAGATCTGACTTATGGATTTTAAAATCAGCTTTAAATTTAGGAAATTAAACTTTGAAATCCTAACCCATGTTGGCTTCAGAAGTGGATTTGTACATCTTTAAAACTTCTCTGTTTAGGGTTCAAATTCAGAAAAACATTCCTATTGCAGAAAGCACTTAAGCATATTTAAGACCCACTGAAGTACATGGGAATTAAACACATACATAAGTGCTTTCCTGAAATTGGGGCCAGAGTCAGGAGTCGTGGTCTTTGCAGAATTACTTCCTTGTTCATTTCAGTGCTGTATAATCACAAGTTATTCATGTTTTAAGATAGTGGGCAAGACATATACAATAGAAGCTTAAACCAAGTCTGTTACACTTGTTCAATATTTACAGTATTCATAGCATCAAACAGAATAATTTTGGTAACTTAAGACAAATACCTTTTCTTTGTTATTTAATGTACCATAGTATTCCTGTTAAATGAACCCACTGTCTCGGATATTAAAGAAATTGCTGCTTACATTTACTGTGTCATTTAAATTAAAAATCTGTTCCTGTTCCAAGCCCCACTCGCCTTCATCCTCATCTTCAGGTTCTGCTTCAGACACATTGCGAGTGTTTTCATACAAAAAGATCTGCTCATCAACATGAGCTGGGGCTAACCGGTTTCTCTTAGCACTTACAACATTAGCAGAGGAACCAAAAAGGCGTTCAGGGAAGACTCTTGTGGCAAGAATACACCAATATTTCTGAAGTACCTTTGGTAAAACAGGAAATAATGCTAGTCTGTCAGACCACCACTTAAGTGGGTCTTCATTTAGACCAAGAACCTTTTGTGACTTAAAGTTGCTCAATTCCTCAACAATCTGAGCATGCCATTCCTCTTGGTCTTCCACCCCTCCTGTCTGGCAAAAGATTTCCGCAAGCATATTATTGATTGCGCTGGTAGGGGGAGGGGTAGAGGAGATGATTATTTTTTTCACAGGTGGCTCTTCTGACACTGTAAAGAACTTTTCTTCAGGCCTGAAAGTGTTTTCTTTTACTTTTTCCAAAAGGCTTTTTGCTTCCTCCACCACTCTGTTTTCTACCTGTTGCCGTTCAAATGCTGAAAGGAAAGGTAGTTTTTTGTACCTAGGGTCCAGAAAAGTTGCAACATTGAGAAACATGTCTATCTCAGGTGTATGCTGGTATGTTGTTGATAACTCTTTGGCTATCACTTCCTTGGCCATGCTAATTTCTTTCAAATCATTCTCTTTGATGTTCAACGTGGTATTTAGAAGCATGTGGAGGAGGGGTTTCACCATACTTATTGTTGGATATTTTGAAGCAGACATCATCTCAGCAACCTGTTTAAAGGGCTGAAGTAGGTCCACCAGGCCTTCAATTGTATTCCATTCGCTGGCTTCCAGCATCAGATGGTGGTTATTGCTGTCCTCCACAAGAACTGCTGCAATTACAAACTGCTGTTCTTTAAGACGTTGCAACATGGCAAGTGTGCTTCCCCACCAGGAAACACGATCACTTACAAGCATACAGTGCAGAATATTTTGTTGCTTCTGCTTCTCACTTAACATGTACATTGCGACCGTGGACTGCTGAAAATATTCCACCAGTTTTCGGCACCTGGCAAGAAGGCTGCACAGTTTGGGAAGCTGAAAAGCTTGTTGTATTCCTGCATTAAAAGTCTGCCCCAAACAAGGCATTTGTACTGGAATATCTAGGAGAGAGCAAGCTTTCACAATGTCTTTACCATAATCTGTTGTAGCACCAAAGACTTTTGTATTGATCCCCCATTCAATAAAGATTTCATAAAGGACTCGTGTAATAGTTTCTGCAGTATTTTCCTCTGGCACTTCAAACGTTTTTAAACACCGGGAGTTAACAGCCAGACAGTTAGAAGGGCTACTGTTCAGAAAATGAACTGCAAGTGTTACATACGATCTATTCTGGTTTTCACTTCTCCACATGTCAGTGGATATGCCACACCATAGAATTTCAGTAAGTTCTTTTAACACAATTTCTCTAATAGCATTGTATTTTTCAGGAATTGCTTTTGTGCAGAAATATTTCCTGCTAGGAAGTTCATATCTAGGATCAGCTGTTCTCAAAAGTGCCTTGAATGTGGGTTCATCAACAATAGAGGAAGGATACATGCCCTCACAAATTAGGCTAATCACAGCAGAAGTCAATTCTTGATGCTTTTTGTTTTCATAATTGTGGCTGGTCTTCATAATTAAAGTGTCTTGAACAACCTGCTGTGATGATTCTGGCTTCAGTTTTGAAAATGCAGTAGCAAACGCTTCCCTCATTTGCTCAGTGTTACTTTTCACAAATTCGCAGAACTCATCAGGATGATTTTTCTCAAGGTGGTATGAAAGGTTGGACGTGTTTCCTGAATAGGCAATTTGGGCCATGCAGATGCGACAATAGATTTTCTTCCACTGTAATATGCATCCTTCTGCATTAGTATCAAACCCAAAGTACTTCCATACTTTACTCTTTGCTCTTGGATGAGCCACTAACTTTAGATCTGATGGCGAGCCTTCTAAGCTTTTATTCTCCATTGCTTCTTGGCCACCGTCCCACCTTTTGATCCTTCACTCATTAATGAGTACCTGATAAAGGCAGTAAGATAAAGATACAATGAGAAAGCACACGTCGAGCACACTCAACTATGTGAAATCAGTGCTTCTGTGAATACACCAAGAAACCTACCTTACTAATTACATTTGAAAATTTAAAGATGAAGTTTACAGGAAGTGTGACTATAGGAAGACCCATTAGAATGTCAAAAGTAAGTGTTTTAATATGTGAACCGATGCTGTGACTGAACTAGTACAACCAAGAAAAACTGAGTTTCTTGAGTAACATGAAAATTCTTGGTAGAGAAAGTGTAACAATCACTGTAGAGTTTAAGAACGTTATTGCCACGTACATTAGACATTTGTTATAGTAGTTCCCTATCCTGAAATTATACTTAAGGTTGAGTCAACATCCCTTTGCACAAGAATTATTGAATTCTGCTGTTTCTGCTGTTTCAGCAGAAATTTGTTACACAAGGAACAAATGTTTGTTTGTGCTGAAACAAATTTTATTAAATTGGTTTGACTTTGTTAGAGATTAATTTTTTAAGTTGTACATTACAACTATGGAAGTGATCCTGCTCTGCTGAAATCAAAGGACATTTTCCAACTGGATTCAGTTAAAGTAGGATCAAAGCCTTCATGCAGAGCAACAATATACATTTGAGGACCTTCCTGCCTGCCTCTTTGTGGAATTAATGTTCAGAGCTCTTGGCTCCTGGAATATCAGCACCTTATAATTGCAGGAAGAGAGGCAGGCAGGGGAACTTTTATCAATGCATTGAAATATGTCAGTTTGAACATTCTTTTTAGGTGTTCAGAAGAATAAACGTAAGAGTTTTCTACAGAGTGTGCTCCAGAAAATTATACCTACAGATTTGCATGGGGCAAAATATTTTTGCCAGAAAAGTATAAAGCCACCAGTCTCCCTTCAAGCAACTACCTGCCAGAGCTCATTTCTCTGCACCAGTGCACCACTACACATGGCTAAGACTGCATGTGTAGATGTTGCTTTGTCTACCTCTACCATGGCTGCAATCTAGCCAGACCATTGCCAACAGACCCTCAGAACAACAAACAGCCCCATTCTTGAAATGCCCAGTAAGTGGGTAACAAAGATCAGTAAGGAGAGGGGAAAGGAGCCATCAGGGAACAGTGGTGCAGGCACATACAAAAATTTGAGCGGACCAGAGTTGAGAATACGTTCATGATGCATTCTATTGAGAATGGGACGTCAACAAATCAGTAAGTTGGGGGAAGAGGACATGTCCCCATCATTCCCTGTCAGTGGCAGCACCATGCCAGGAAACAGAAAAAGAAAGCCCTGGGTGAATAAGACAAGCCAGTAGGCTTTTCATGACATTGGTGCAGACCTGCGGGAATGTTTGTGTGTGTGTATCTTTTCAGTGCAGTTGCTCCTGTGGGCTTACACTATGGAGTAAGGGACTTCTGTTCCTTTTAACTATTCTAGTTATTTTTTAATATTTTGGGGTTTTTTAATAAAATAAAAGAACAGGAGTACTTGTGGCACCTTAGAGACTAACAAATTTATTAGAGCATAAGCTTTCGTGGGCTACAACCCACTTCGTCGGATGCATATATATATATATATATATATATATAAGTGGGTTGTAGCCCACGAAAGCTTATGCTCTAATAAATTTGTTAGTCTCTAAGGTGCCACAAGTACTCCTGTTCTTTTTGCGGATACAGACTAACACGGCTGCTACTCTGAAACCTTTAATAAAATATTAAGACAAGATTATTGAAGGTTAAAGATGAGGAGGAGTTGCAGATTTTTTGGTTTGGTTGATTTCTTTAAATATTTACATCTGAAGATTCTGCATCAGGAGGTAAAACTATTCTGTTTTTAAAAATGTGCTCTGAATACTGGTATGTCCTTTGCTATGACTAATTTCAGTGCTTCAGTCATCAATATGAATTACTGACCCAACATGGTTATGCTGTATCATTCCAAAGATCCATATTAACAACTCCATGTTATGCATTCTCATAGTATGACAGTATAACTTAGAAGGAGAGGTATATACAGTATAATGTTACAGATGATGGTTTTAATAGCTTCATATTATGCACTGGCATGATGTACCATATCAGTATTTGCTGTTATTGCTTTCAGATACCTCTATTTCAAGCCATGTCACAGGGTTTCTGGGACACATACAGACTCAACAAATTTCATTTTATCCCAGAATATCCCTTACTGTAACACAGAGGTTCCTGGAAGCAAAGAGGAAGTCGAGTAATAAAACAGGTGGTGTGCCTTTAATATTTAAAATTAAGGAGGGAAATTCTACAACATACAGGTCCTGTCATAGAACAAGAAAACACAAGTTCATTCACAGTGAATGAGTGTCCCAGGCTCACTCCACTGATTTTATGACTGTAAGATCTTTTCTATCATTTGTATATAGATTCAACATTTAACTAGAGTGGTACACCGTAGCATTGCCACAGTTAAAGATACATCAGCATACCATCACCTTAATTATAACACTGAACCACACATAACTTTGCAATCTAAATTGCTCTCTTTTAAATGTAGCCTTTTTCTGGGTATAATTTAATAATATCTTACATGTACAATATATATAGTTCCTTTCATCTTGATGGATCCCAGATATTATTCCTCTCATATATGTAAATCACTTCACCAGCAATGGATCACAAACTGTCTCTGGAGTGAAACAATTTTAACAACTGGGAAACATAATTAAGACAGGAAGTACAGTATCCTTAATCTATTATAATACTTTCTCCATATGAAATAAAAGATATTATTAATACTTGAATCAAAACAGAGGGGACCCAAGCTCTCTATTATTAATAGTTTTGAATGTTTTGAAAATTATAGCGAAAGCCAGAAGAAAATAATTTCATTTAGATTAATTAGAGAAAATTGGGCACATTTAAAGTCTATCTCAGGTTAAAAGATGCTTTTAAAAACATGAATGAGTAATATTAGCACTCAGTTCTAAGTCACTTTCTACATCTCTCAAGTACCAAATATAAACATTAACAAGTCTTCTCCACAAGTACAAAACATGCAGCATCGAGTATGTCTGAAGCCAAATTTCAATGAAATGATTTATGCAATAGAAGATCAAATGCAGCATGAGAAAAAACAAAAATTTTCTGACAACTCTTCAACATGATCACAGAAAATCCTACTCTGTGAAACAATTAGTGTCAGAGATAGCATGATTTTAAAAAGATAAAAAAAAATGAGATGACTCTCAATGGGCTGCAACCACATTTCCTGTATTAACTTCCTGGTGTCACAATTAGCTAGCTCATCTTTTGTAAATTCACTGATTAGATTTTTGTTTCTAAAACTTGATTTTGAGGCAAGGTCACACCTTACATTAAGATATCAGTACGAGCATTTATTTTAATTATTAAAGTTAAGCAGTGGGAGAAGAATATGCATGCAATAGTATCTATTTGAATAGATAATTATCTTGGTACACACAGCACTAACAGATATATATTACCATACTGATCTTTAATTATACTATTTTATACAATTAGTATTGAGAAATGTTTAAATAATAATTTATATAATTCCTCTTCCTCCTTTACTTTCCAGCACTGCACTTAATTGTGAAGTCTACATTAAATTCACAACCTACATTGAAATTCCTCCTTCTGTGTTTCAGTTTCAGAGTCTGCAGCAAACTTCCTGATATTCCTACCCTGGAATGCTGTGAAATTTGCACCTTCATGTTATATATTTACAGATTTGCGTTTTCAGTTCACAAATCAAAACAACTACTGCAATATATTTTGCCCCCCGAGCTGCCTCATTTGTACAGTTCAAACTGTCCTTTCCATACACACCAGCCTAAACAATATCTGTAAAATTAGACAAATATTAGCAGGATGTAGTAGGAGAGGAGTCAGTTTTTAGAAAGGCAAGTGAAGTTGTGTAGTGAAAACAGCATACAACCTTGATTAATTCAGGAAAAGAGGACTAATTTAATTTAGTTTACTTTAGACTGCAGCTCCTGAATATTTCTGTGAAATAGTATAACAAGCTTTTTTTTAAATGAATGCAGCTTCTGAAGATATAAGGGCTACAGCTACACTAGTGGACTTCAGACCCTTAATTCAACACAGGGCAGATCAATCACTGGATGCCAGATGGCTTTCTATAATATAGCTTCCACTATGGAGCTGCACCTATGCTGAATTATGGCTATGTGGCTTGCCAGTGTAGATGAGGTCCAGTAGGTTTGAGGTCCAAATTCCAGAACATGTAGACTTGAGGAGCTAAACGACAAATCTTCGGCTCTACCATATTCCCCCCAATGTTTTTTTTAAATGTCTCTCATGATGAGGCAATTGATACCTGATTTATGCACCTTTTATTCCAGTAATCATATCTTTTTAAGAATTGAGGACTACAAGGGTTAGAAAAAGCTTTCAACTTCTGTATTTTAAAATATTTTTAGTTCACTAACTTGACACAATTGTTGCTTCTTTATTCCAATAGAAGTAGCAGATTACTGATCCAAGATTAACTATGTCCATTCTAAAACACATGTAATTACTTTCACATTTTAAAGTGTTGTTTTTGTCATACTATGATCACTATTTTGAAATCTTACCTAGACTAGCCTAACATCCATATCAAAATACCCCTGTTCACAAGTTGGTTTGTTTTTTAATCACACTGGTCCAAATACATTCTTGATATTTTTTGATTTGTTAATTATATTTAAGATTACAATAAAATAAAATGTTTGGGTCAATCTTTGTCATAATATTTCTGTTCAGTTCTAAATTATTTTGAAAGCGTTACACACTCTAGGCATAATCCAGAACTTTACCCTGCCAAGAAAAACTAATGCTAGAAGAATGCTCAGCTGACATAAAACTGTAGGCACACATCTGCTTTTTTTTCTTTTTGGCATGTTATATGTTTTTGAGAATGAGAAAGCAAAACTCAAATCTGCATTAGAATTATTAGTATGGAAGAAACATTACCCAATGAACCCATGTGTGGAAATCTGTGCTGTCCAGTCTTTGCATTAATTTTACAAAAATTAATGGTTGACACACAAATTTATTTTCTCTCCTCCCTAGTACCTCAACTATACAATAAGTTGATTTGGGCCTCATATTTTAAATAATCTCACTGAACTGCATACCTATACCTGCATTTTTGGTGTTATTCTGGTTAAAACCACCATCACCTCCATAAGAGCCACATTTGAAGCTAGTCAGTGAAAATAAACAGAACCAAACTAGTGAGGTGCAGTGATGCTGTCACTCATTATATGGTTTTCAGGCCTTCCCAAGTTGCAGGGAGCTGTTAGAAGCACCAACAAATTCAAAAGTGTTTTTAAAAATCAGTATCCTGTTAAATATAAGATTCCTATTGTGTTGATGTCTGGCCTGAAGAGATTCCCAGATTAATCGTTTTTGGAAACCTCAAGTTTCCTTCATAGACACCTAATGTGGGGAAACAGAACATCATTAAGTTTTCTGTTGACTACAAAAATCATTTAAAAATGTAACACAAAACTGTCAGAAAAGGAGCTAAACTAAAAGCTCCATAGAGCAAACTGAATGCCACTGAATTGTCACCTTAAATGCTGGCAATTAATGACAATATATATTCAGCATATAAAATGTGTACACCAACACTCCCACCAATGGCTGGGTGGGAAGAAAAGACTAGCAGTCTATGAGAGTCGGATTCAGTGAAGAAGTTCACCACTGTCAATACTGGAAGAATGATTTTAGAGAGGATGTAATCAAGTGGCCAGGAGTGTGGAAGAATAAAGTCCAGTGTCCAAGTTTAGCAGAGATGGAGGAATTTACTTGAGTGGCAGAATTCAAAAGCAGGCAAGGAGAACAGGGAGGGGTCTAGGCACAGGATCAGGACAGAGGAAGGTAGCCAGGCAAAGCAGCAGGTTCTTGTTCAGCAGGAGAAGCGAGGGGAACTGGTGATTTCTTATAGGTTTATCACCACAGTATCTGAGCACATCACAAACACTGATCAACACCCACGTGAGGCTGGGACCTGAGGCACAAACAGAACAAAAATCACGCCTGAATCTGAGGCAATGCGGGGAACTGAACTCAGCTTTCCGGGGTCCGTTCAGCAACTTAACCACAACGCCACTCAGGTCCAGCAGCAGAGAGGTATGCAAGGGCCTAACGCAGCGGCCTGGGGCAAGTGCAATAACGCGGGGGGACGGGGACTATGCGTCTAGTACGGGAACGAGTGCAGTTAAAGCAGCGAGGGGGCGTGTGCAGGTGTCTCCCCAGTAACTGAGTATGCCAGCACTAAACAGGCAGGCTCAAGCCCACGAACCGCCTGCAAAGCCAGCAGGGGAAAGGACCCAGCCCAGCAGCCAGGCGCGTGCGGAGGGCGCCAGCGCAGCGGGCCGAGGGGAGGCTGGAGCGCGCAGCTCCGTGGCCCGGCGCAGCAGCCGCAGCGTGTGCAGCTCACGGGGGAGGAGCGCCAGGGCCAGGCCCTGTGGTACTGCAGCTCTGGCAGGGAGCGGAGCAGCCCGGGGAGGGGAGCCCCCGGTGCGGCCGGAGGGCAGGCTGCGCACACGCCGGAGCCCGGGGACGCTCCTTGGGGGTGGCGCTGCAGACCCTCGCTGTGCGCAGGGGCCAAGGTCACGGCACACGCCCCAGCCCCCGCGGGGAGAGTGGGGCCCGGGTGGGGGAGGCTACAAAGAGGGAGCGGCCGCCGGCCTCCTGTTTTCCCCCCTGCCCCGTTAGGAAAGCGGGCTCAGTGCCCGGCGGACCACAGGCGGGCTGCGCCCGGTGCCATTGCACGGCTCCCCGGGCCTGCCAGCAGCGCCCCGCACGGGGCGGCCCCGACCGCCGCTGGGCAGCAGCGGGGGGCGATGCTCTCACCTGGCGCGGGGGGCCCGCCGGGGCGGAGGCGGCGCAGCAGCTGGTGCAGGGCGACGGCGAGGCCGATGCAATAGAGCCGCAGCGCGGGCAGCGCCCGAGACAATAGCGACATGGCTGCCTCCCGCCCCTCGGCGCGGGGAGAAGCGGGGACGGGGCCCCGGCGCGCCTCTGTCTGTGTGTGTGTGTCCCCGCTCCCGGGCTGGGCGGGCGCGGCGCTGCTGCAGAGCCCACACCCAGCGGAAGGGAAAGCGCCGCCGCTGTCACAGGCTGCACGGCCCGGACGCTCCGCCGCTCCTTCTGGGCATGTGCGCGGCCACACCACGTCAGGGCGGGGGAAGGGGAGAGCGGCCCCTGAACCCCATGCCTCCAGGGGCGCCCTAGGCGCCGAGCGGGCTGGTGGAGGAGCGGGATCGGGGGACGCTGCCACCGTAGTTGGGGAGAGATGCTGCCAGGGAGGCGGGAGTTGCAGGGGCCAGCTGGCCGGGACCGGGTTGGTTTTGAATTTGCTGAAGAGTCAGGCTGGAGAACTGAGCAGCTGGAAAGTAATGGGGCCCTGTGGGTGCCTCCTGAAAGAGAGCTCTGATCCTGGGCCCCCACAGCCAGGAAAATGAGGCCAGGGTCGGCTGCCCTTACATTATAAACTGTGCGCAGACTGGAAATAAGACACATTTTTAACAGCAAGGGTAATAAACCCTCGGAACAAAATTACCAAGGGTTGTGGTGACGTCGCCATCACAGGCAACTTTTAAACCAAGATTGGATTTAAAAAAAAAAAAAAAAAAACCATGCTCTAGGAATTATTCCGGGAAAGTTCCAAGGCCTGTGTTACACAGGGTGTCAGACCAGGTGATCACAGTGGTCCCTTCTGCCCTTGGATGTATGATAATACAGTAACTCCTTGCTTAACGTTGTAGTTATTTTCCTGAAAAATGTGACTTTAAGCGAAACAAAGTTAAGCAAATCCGATTTCCCCATAAGAATTAATATAAATGGGGGGGAGGTAGGTTCCAGGGAAATTTTTTTCACCAGACAAAAGACTATATATATATATATATATACACACACACACAATATATATATATATATATAAGTTTTAAACAATTTAATACTGTACAGAGCAATGATGATTGTGAAGCTTGGTTGAGGTCGTGAAGTAAGAGGGTGGGATATTTCTTACTGCTAAATGAACTAGCAGTCGGCTGAGCCTCCAAGGGTTAACACATTGTTGTTATTGTAGCCTCACAAGCTACAAGGCAGCACAGATGGAGGGAGGGGAGACAGCATGGCAGACAGAGACAGAGATACACACTGTGTGTGTGTGTGTGTGTGTGTGTGATGCGCATTGCCCCTTTAAGTACGCTGACCCACTCTAAGTACACTGCCTTTTTAAGTAGATCAGCAAGTTGAGACAGCAGTCGCTGTCAGCAAGCTCCCTCTGTCCTGAGCCCTGTCATGACCCCCCCCCCCACTCTATGGAGATGGGGTAAGCAGGGGGGAGGGAGAGACCCTGACATTAGCCCCCCTCTTTCCACCCCCCGCACAGCAAGCAGGAGGCTCCTGGGAGCAGCTCCAAGGCAGATGGCAGGAGCAGCAAATGGCAGTGGGGGGAGAACCAGCTGAACTGCCTGGCAATTGATAGCCTGCTGGGCGGCTGCCGCACAAGGAACTTAGGGGAGCGGGGAGCTGATGGGGGGCTGCAGGTCCACCCTGGTTCCAAGTCCCCACCAACTACCTGCAACGGGCTGCTCTTCCTGCATGCAGTGGACAAAGCAGGCGGCTGCCAAGCAACGTCATAAGGGAGCATTGCACAACTTTAAACGAGCATGTTCTTTAATTGATCAGCAGCATAACAACGAAACAACGTTAACTGGGACAACTTTAAGTGAGGAGTTACTGTACAGAATTTAAGTGTTATGTGACCCAGTGAAACTGAACAATGCTGCCCCCATCACCTTATCCACGCACATTCCCCCTCTGCCCCTTCCTTTTTGCCTCTATTTGTGACCTTATGTTCCATCATGACATATTCTAATGTTGGAGTTTATGATCTTATACATCATACTCATGAAAACAAGATTGTCAGGGACTTCCAGGATCATCTATTCCAAGGGTTCTCAGGACAAATTTTTTGGTGGCCTCAGAGAGCGGCCACCAACTCTTGCTAGTGGCCGTCCTTACACTTTTCCCTAATATACTTAATTAGCTTTAGGAAAAACAAATAAATATGCACATATACACATCCAAATCATTGTAATTTATTTGTTACTAGCTAGTAAGTCTGTTGTGAAAAGTGATATTAACAAACATGCAAGTATCACTTTTCACAGCAGACTTACTCAGCCCTGCCAAGCCTGGGGACAAATTAAGCCCTGGATGGGGGGGGGGGGGGGCGGGAGGCAGCCGGGGCCGGGGGCAAGGGGGGGGGGGGGGGGGGGGGCGGGGGGAGGCGGGGGGGGGGCTGGAGCCTGAAGCCCTGCGGCCGGACCTGAAGCCCCGTGGTCAGAGCCTGGGGCCTGCCACCACACAGCCAGAGCCCAGAGCTGGAGCTCAAAGCCCCCCGGCCAGAGCTTGCCACCCCAGAGCTGAGGCCCAAAGCCTGAGCCTCACCGCCCCTGCGAAAATGGGGAACTCACTGGCTGCCTGCTCCTCCAGTGTTGTGCTCCAGGTGTCTCCAGAGGGGGACAGAGCCCAACCCCTGCTGGTGGTCCCAGCAACCAACACCAAGGCGGTGCATCCTGGAACAACAGGGAGGGGGAGGAGCCACTATTTTACCACCTACCCCCACCCCATCACAACCCAGGAGGCTGTGGGCGCAAGAAAAGCCCCAGGTGGTCGCATGCGGCCATGGTGGCCGCATTTGAGAAACACTGACCTAGTCCATCTAAAAGGATTTTAGGAGCTGCTCTTTAAAGGGATTGGAGAGCTCAGGGGACCACAGTCAGGGAGTCGAGAGATGGGGAGGTTACAGTAATCAAGACAGAAAATGAAGAGTGTCTGGACAAGAGGTCCTGCTGTGTAGACAGAAAGAAGAGGCCCATTGTAGAAGTGTTTTGGAGGAAGAAGTGGCAAGAACTGAACACAGTCTGGCTTTGTAGGATAAGGTACAGGGAGGCGTCAAAGATGATTCTCACATTACAAGCCTCAATTACAGAGAGCATAGCAGTATTGTCAGTAGTGACAGAGAAAAGAGAGTAGAGAACATTTGGGAGGAAAGAGCAGGAGTTAAGTTTTTGCCATGTTAAGTTTAACATCAGTTCTGCTCCCAATCTCACCTAATAGAATTTCTGTAAATCACGTAAGCCGAAGGGCAACGTCAGTGACTAGGGTGACCAGACAGCAAGTGTGAAAAATCAGGACGGGGGTGGAGGGGTAATAGGAGCCTATATAAAAAAAAAGACCCCAAAATCAGGACTGTCCCTATACAATTGGGACATCTGGTCACCCTATCAGTGACTCAGCAACAAGAGTTCTCAGTATCTGAAATAGGAGCTTTTTTTGAGTCAATCCAATGATGCCATCGCTGTGGAATCTACTGTAAATAGCTACCTGGTAGAATGAATGGCCATAGCCTATATGCTAAGCTAAACCAACATCTTCATGACAAAATCTGCTGCGTGATTAAAAACAGTTTACCAAGTTATCTCATTAGTAACCAACTCTGAGACACAAGTTAGTGGCTTTGTCCCAATAAAAAAAGCATTGGTTCAGTTCAGGCAAAATTTGTGTCATCTTGGACACCAGACACCCTTGAGTTATCTTTCTTACTGCAGGAGCCCAAGTAGTCATATAAATACGTTAATTTATTTTGCCTTCTAATTTGAGTACCATATAACTTTGAATCACTACCCACGAGTTTCTGTCACAACAGATGACTAAATTTCATGACGCCATGTGACCAAAATATCTCAATATGATGACATTTCATAGAAGCAAGCTGCAAGTTGTTCTCAGTTTTCAATTTTAAATCTTCAATTAATTTTTTTACATGATCATCACTTGAGACAGAATGACAAGGCCTATGCTCCTATGCTTCTAAGTTCCAGGGAGCAGCTAATCAGAAGTCTTAAATTAATAATAAAAAATAATTAGGGCTGTCAAGCAATTAAAAAAAAATCACGATTAGTCACATGATTAAACAATAATAGAATACCATTTATTTAAATATTTTGGATGTTTTCTACATTTTCAAATATATTGATTTTAATTACAAAACAATACAAAGTGTACAGTGCTGACTTTATATTTATTTCTGATTACAAATATTTGCACTGTAAAAAACAAAATAAACAGTACTGCAATCTCTTTATCATGAAAGTTGAACTTACAAATGTAGAATTATGTACAACAAATAACTGTATTCAAATAACTTTAGAGCCTACAAGTCCACTCAGTCCTATTTCTTGTTCGGCCAATCGCTCAAACAAGTCTGTTTACGTTTACAGGAGATAATGCTGCCCGCTACTTGTTCACAATGTCATCTGAAAGTGAGAACAGGCATTCGCATGGCACTGTTGTAGCAGGCGTCTCAAGACATTTACACGCCAGATGCAGTAAAAATTCATATGTCCCTTCATGCTTCAACCACCATTCCAGAGGACATGCGTCCATGCTGATGACAGATTCTGCTCGATAACAGTCCAAAGCAGTGCAGACCGATACATGTTCATTTTCATCCTCTGAGTCAGATACCACCAGAAGAAAGTTGATTTTCGTTTTTGGTGATTCGGGTTCTGTAGTTTCCGCATCGGAATGTTGCTCTTTTCAGAGTTCTGAAAGCATGCTCCACACCTCGTCCCTCTCAAATTATGGAAGGCACTTCAGATACTTAAACCTTGGGTCGAGTGCTGTAGCTATCTTTAGAAATCTCACATTGGTACCTTCTTTGTGTTTTGTCAAATCTGCAGCGAACAAATCTGCATGTTCTTAAAACGAACATGTGCTGAGTCATCATCTGAGACTACTATAACATGAAATATATGGCAGAATGCGGGTAAAACAGAGCAAGGGATATACAATTCTCCCCCAAGGAGTTCAGTCACAAATTTAATTAATGCATTTTTT